ATCCAAAAAGTAAGTGTACTTAGAATATTCTGACATGACTGTTTGGTCTCTGTCACAGTTTATCAGCACTAACATAGCAAGAGTCTCACGAACTCTTGAAAGTAATCTGCTACCCAGTACACCATTGAAACAGTGAGTTTGCGGTCAGTCACCATAACACGGTCAACCTTAACTTTTGAAGTCATTAACTTAGTTTTGCAATTGCTATATTTTTATTAAGTATTTTTGTGAAGCACCATAAAAGATTGTGCAGTTACATAAAACTCCAGTTAATCATTATGCTGTTCAGTGCAGTAATAATAATTTCCTTTTAACACAAAACAAACCACAGGCTTCATACTTACTGGAACAGAGATACGTAAGTGGGTACTGAAATCCTGAGTGTTTCTTCCACCCATGGATTTCAGCTGTGTACATGTATTAAGGCACGTTTTGTTTTTCCATGTTGTTGTTACTCTAGCTGTTGACTCTCTGTGAAAACTAATACCACGTTTTCATTCTAGATCGGATATGCAGTGGACCCAGCCTACAGAGAAAAAACTTACTGGTGGGACAAACTGGCAAGCAAAAACTAGCACATCAACTACATGGAACCCTGCTCCCTTACCCACTATTCCACATATGGTAATTTCTGTACTATTGAAATCACCCTTCATTCTAGCAAATGCTGCTTCCCAGCTTGAAATAACTTAAAAAGAATAGCAAAGGCTGTTTGGGACAAGATTGGGAGTAGAGGGGAATGCTGTAGGATCACTTCTTGAACTGAGTGAGGTACAGATTTTAGTATGCTTTGTTTCCCCTCACTGTAAAACTTGTCCATTAAAGACTTAAATAATCAGCCTTTCACTGGAGATGTGAAGCAGTTCATAAGTTCTTTTTGAATTGAAACAAATGACCCCAAAGCAGAAAATTGCTGATGTGCATGTTTGAGATGCTTCCCCCTGCCACACACACACACACACACACACACACACGCACACACACACACACATGCACCTTTAAGAATGTCTTTCAAGGGCAAAATTGCTTTTCCTTCCAGTTTTTGTTCCTTTTTCAGTTTTATCACATGAAACGCTGCTGCAGCCCCTGCAAGGCACCTTAATTATCAGGTTAAGCAACACTTTGGACTTTTCATAATGCTCAACAGCAACTTCATATTTTTAACACAGTACAAAATACTAAGTGGAAGTTTTGTAGTTATTTAAATGAAGAATTTTCATTTCTTTGAGGGATATTTGTAAGCAACTGACTCTTCCTATGCTTTTAAAAGAATTTTTCAAGTATCTTCTATTCATGTATATTCAAACCACTTCTGAAATATAGCTGCCTTGGAGGGAAGTCGAATGTTTGTCTTGGTTATATGTGCAACTAGGGTAATTGCCATATTTGCTGTGAGTTTTGGACTGCTGTCTGACTTTATTTTCCAATAAGAATTGCTTTTCCTGTAATGCCTATTTTCCTTATCTTATGTGAGTATGCTAATTCAAAATTATCAAAGATGAAGAGAACATTAAATCCTGTACTGGACTCAACCAAAACTCAGATTCGGAGGAGAGGATGTCTCTAGTTGTATAGTGCTTTAATGTGAGACTTCTGAGACCATAAAATCTTTTTATCCCATCTTGGTGCTATTGAACATGTCATTAGAATGCTGATGCATCCTTGTTTTTGAAGGATAGAGGGCACATTAGCACACTAAGAACTAGCTCAACTATGAGCATCTTTAAAATCAGTGCCCCAGTACTGGACAGGTTTGACTGTCCTGGCTTGGTCTGTGGCATTCAGGGCACTATCCCTGCAATTCATGAATACTCTGCATACGCTTGTGTAGTGAAGTACTTTAACTCGTGCTCCATTCTTAGAAATTAATCTAATTAGCACAACTTAACAACGTGTGGCAATATGAATTGCATGCATCGCTGTGCCTATGGACATAACCTGGTACGAGTTATTACTGGCTTAAAATGATCTTCATTTTTCTTTTTTCATGTTGTGATATGTTGCAGACATCAGAAATTAGTATGCAAGCAACATACCTGACTAAACATCTATTGCTATTTGTTTCTTAAGCTGAATGCTCACTGGCTTCCTTGTTGGTGTTTTTTCTATGCCCTTCTCACACATAATGGGAGGAAGAAGGAATATTGCATGCCATGCCCTCTAAAAGCTTCTCACATAAATGTTTCTGCAAGCAATATACTCAAAACTGGCTAGATTTATTAAAATTTCTGGTTTTGCTGTAAGTCTTACTAGTGATAGCTTTCTAGGCAGGGAGCCTGTCCGGGTTAGCAGGCATAGTTATTGATGTTACTGTCTTTGCACTTTTTTCCTCCAGCTTTAGTTGTTTTAATAAATGAGTTGAGCATAGTTACAGACAGTTATGGTACTGGACTTGAACCCATCCCTTGATTAGAACTTCCAGTTCAAATACCCCTTAAATAATTTTCTGTCCTTACTCCTTTTGCTGTGCCAGAATGGAGTACACTATCCTGGATATGTAAGTCAATTTCTTGTAAATATGTTGGTTATTTTAAGTACTGAAAAATATGTATTTTAATATATATATGTATAGAAATGTTACTAGTACACATAAACTTATCTAAAATACTTTAAAATTTTCTTGATTGAAGGTACCTGCTCCTATCACATACCCAGTGACCACACCTCAAGTGCCTGTATATGGAATGGTAAGAAATGTGATTGTCTTGTATTCCTGAAAAACCTAGTTGTCTCCTCCAGTGGGTTTTATGGCAAGCATTATTATGCCCAGATCATCCTGCAGCTTGCAGGATTTGTTTCATAAGGTCACTAGTGTGTGATATTTGATAGCTTTTCCACGCTGTGCATTGGAAGAGATTAAATTTTATACAGCAAGTTTTTTAAAAGCTTTGACTTTACTATGTGTGTGTGTGTGCACCTATATGCTCATTTTCTACTATACTTAAAATGCAAGAAAAGATGTATCTTCCAGAATTAGTTTGTATTTTATATACCTGTTTTGGGGGGGGGTTATTTTTCTAACAGGTACCTCCTCAGATTGGAGCTGCTCCTTTGATGGCACCCCAGTCAATGATGTATACGCAGCCTGGTCTAAGGCCAACAAATCCTTTTGCACCTGTTTCTGAAACTCAGGTGAACTGTTTTCTTTAATCTTGAGCTCATGTTGAAACTTTAGTCTTGGTAAAAGCAAACAAATGTTTCATGAAGGGCTACTTGCATATTTCTGCATTTGAAAGTGAGGGGTTCCTCAGTCAAGGGCAACAGCTTTTGCTGGCAAGGAAGCAAATTCACATGGTGAGACCATGCAAATGTAGGAAGCAAGGAAGAAAGTAAAAATCAGATTTAGTAGCTAACTTCTTATTGTGTCAATATTAAGAAAATGGGAGTGGTGAAAATATGTAGAATTTAGATTTCCTATGACACTAGCTGGATACTTAGACTGACTAGAGCAGTGGTGAAAGCTTTCTGAAGGATCAGGTGATGGGGAAGTGAAAAAGGCATGGACAAGAGATCATTCCAGTTGAAGAAACTGTGTACTCCTCTCATCCAAATACGTTGGCCTTAATGCTCTTTGGGGACTTTTTGAAGTGCCAAAACCTATAGTCTTAACTTGCAAGTAACAAGGCAGTTGAATAGATTCATAATTCTAAAAAACTGAAAGAACATGTTACAAGTGGCATTAATATGTAATCTCTGCTTCACAGATACAGTTCATGTAGAGTCGCCAAAGCAGCAAGATGTGAGAACAACCAAATACTGGTAAAAAAAGAAAAGACTGAATTGCAATCTTTCCATGATGTATTCCTCAACAGGGCAACTTTCTTCCCTGTATAACACAATATTATTTTGAATTGCAATGCTTTAGATATTCTTGTTTATAACAGTCACTGCAGTGTGAAGTCATGTTTGTTCACTGATTTTTAAACTGCTCAGCAGAAAACTCTATTTTACTGAGGTTGACTCAGAAGGTGCAAGCTGGGTTATCGTTTTCAGAGCTGAGGAGTTACAGGATTGCTCTACAACCTTATTCATCAGTGGATTGCTTTAGCAAGCTAACTGAGGATGTCAAAGCTATTTATTTTCTCCATAAATCCTGTGCCTGTTGTAACCAAGACACAACACAAATGAAGTTGAGCAATAAAATTTATGTGCTCTAACAAATACTCTGATAGAGCAATGCTTGCATTATCATAAGGCCAATATTGTGTGAAATCAGACAGCTTTTTCACATTAGAATAGCTTATAGTAATTTGCAAACTTTATAATGTGAGTTTGAAATGCTGTGAATCAACGAGATATATATATATATACATTACATATATATAGTAAAAAGAAAAAATAGTTGCTCTATTGGTATATCAGTGTTACATGGCTAGTTGAAAGAGCCGGGCTCTGGTACAGGCTGAAAGTCTGTGATGGAGTAGGGGAAACAAGTGTGTTACAGAACAGCATGTGCAGCCTCTGACAGGGGACAGACAGGAGCCACACTTCCATCGAGTATTCTCTGCAGATAGCATTTTTCATAGCTCAAGGAAGAGTAGTTTTGGGAGCCAGTGAATGTAGGTATCCCCAATAGAAGCGTATGGGAGCAATATGAAAATCTTGTTGCTAACTGCAAAAAGAGGCAAAAGATACAATTTTTTTTTTAAAGTCCATTCTGTCAAAAGAAGCAAACCTTGCAATAGTGCTGACACTTGTGAACTGGCAACTGTACTGAAATTACCCAGGTGTAGACAATAGCTTGTGCTGCTTTTCAGAAATAAGAACGTAGTTGTAAACCATATAAAAGTAATTATTTTTAAATGTGTAAATATGTGCAAACTTTTAGATAATCTTTTCTTTAATGCTGCAGTGATCTTTTTCTTCTGTAGTAATTTTGAGGTTAAAATGCTGTGTAAAGAAATCCAGACTCTTTTTGAGGGGAAAATCTTTTAATGTAGAGAAATCAGGACTCCTTTTGAGAGGAAAATCTTTTAAAACAACTAATTTATGGAGTATGCTATTCCTGACAGGTCAGATGTATACAGTTCTGGCATGTCTTTTGTATTTAACAATCTTTCTCCAAAACTGAAATTGGCTATGAAAATGCCTTACTTTGTATTTTTCAATGTCTGATAAAAAGTGATAGCCTGAAAAAAAAAAAAAAAAGAAGTTAGTAGCAGGTAGATGGAATTGGGAGCAACTTTTCTTCCAGAAGTTTTGTGGCAGAACACAATTAAAAGCTCTCCTGTAAAATGACTTCTACTGATGATTAATATTAAAGCTGGGTTTTAAAAAAATTGAATAGTTTTCTATTGTATGATAAATAGACCTCCAGAGAAGCATGTCTTTAATCTTTTGGGTAGTCTATAATTGCAGAAATGTCTCTGACGCTTGCTGTAAATGCAAATAGGCCTGAGAATCTTGTCAAACTGTCCTGCAGAGAACTTCTAAACCACCGCACTTTCCTCACAGTGGGAACAAGCCTTCTCTTTTTGTAAATGCTTAGTTCTGTCCAAAGAGTGCAAAAGTAGTATTTCTTAATCTTATGGAAATATTTTTGCCAAGTAAAACAACTCAAAAGAAACAAAATTTAAAAATGACCCCCCCCTAACCCTTGGACCACTGTAACCACTAACTTCCTGGGAAATGTAGCCTTGCAGAAACTTAAAACTTAGAGTTTCTCAATATGTACTGATTTTAGAAGAATTTGGACTGGTATATAGCAATTTAATGTTCAAGTTTGAATTACAAAGGGCTTCAAGCTTTAATCCACCTTTATTGGGTTGAACAATTGTACCATTTTAAGCCAATGAGTTCTTCAGTGCCTATAGTTACCCTCCACATGATGAGGGAATAGATGGGGCATTTAGAATGGGTCATTGTGTTGAGGGGACTGTTTATTTCAGAAATAGTGAATTCCATTGATTTATTCAGCATTGAAAGGTCTTGAGTTCGAATTAGACCAGTACATGTAGTAATAAATGTCTGGGCATTAATGACAGAGCGCTACAAGCAGGCAGTTCTAGCACTGTAAGCTTAGGTCTCTTTCTCTTACTGAGTTGTGTAAGTAATAAGCAGTTACTGTAATAAAATATGCAAATAAATGCCTGGCAAACAGTATATATTTGTTAGAACTTTATTGCAGAGCATTCTGAATACCTGGAATGTACTTTGCTTAAAATGGATTTAGTACTAGGTATAGTTTGCACTACTTCTGATTTGCTTTGGATTTTTTAATGGTTCTTTGGTATGCTTTCTTGTAGCAAAGCTGTCTGATACCAATTTATTTAGCATTAAAAAAGGAGAAACAGCCACAAAGCGCATCCTAAAAGCTTGTTAAGCCACCTTCTTTTTAGTCTCTTTCAGAATGTTTGATACATTAAAACACAGCTTTCAGATTTCTGCTTATGAAGAAAAGATTGCTTTACTTTACACACTTCTCTGTGCAAAAGTGCACAGGACTGCTTTTTGCCAGCCTCTCCTTGTGCACGTATTGGAACACATAAAATGGCAGAGTACTGTGTTTAAAATATCATGGTTCATATATTAGAAGTAAAAAACCAAGGACTTGGGATGCTGTCAAAGGCTTTTATGGCTCAGAACTTGTTCTCCAAAAAAAACCCACTTTGACAAAAGATGTTCTTGAGGGCAGCTGTAACAGCCCACAGGAGCTGCAAATAGTAGTTGTGACGAGTAAAACACTGAAGAGAGATGTATATAAATGTGACTGTCCCTTTTGTTTCCTTCCAACTCGTTTGATCAGAATCCTGTTCTGAATACTTCAGAAAGCAGGTAACTAAGATGTCACTCCATGTTTGTCTGAACAAGGAGGAAGACTTGAAGTATGCTGTGTGCTTTTCATTATTGTACTTTAGTAAGTCATTCAAGCCTAACTGTTGGGACTTCATGCTGCTACAGGGAGGCTGTTCATGGGATATACCATAAGATAACTTCTGGGGGAATTTGGAAAGGTTGATTGTGTTAGGCCTGTTGGACTTGAAAGTGTACCTCTTTTTAAATAACTGGGGTTTTCTAATGTTCTCTAGATATAGTTTGACTTTGCCTCCAAGAAGTTATTGAATGAATTATTTTTTTTTTTTTTTAATTTTGGACACATGTACTAGAGAAATCTCAGTTATGTGCACATAGTGGTAGAATACTTGTAGGTAAAAATAATAAATGGACTTTTGTTTATAAAAAAAACCACACACAAAAACCAACAACAAAATATTTCTGACTACCAGATTGAATACAGGGTGTATCCCCATCTGGGTTTTTTGCTGTGTGGCAGGGAGGGTGGGGTAACAATTAGAATAGTATGCACTGTGGATCGGTGCTTAATTTGTACATAAAAAGAAAAACTTGTTTTGGGTAGTTTGTATTGTAAGGACAACATCTAAAGGCACTGTGTATCAGTCATTTATTTCCATTTAAAAGATTATATTTTTGAGCAATGGAAACTGTACATGTTATCATTTATACATTACTGATAGCTAGGAATATAGCAAACCTGTTGCTATTACTCTGAAGATGTATTTGACTTGTCATTGATATATATACACATCACTGCATCACTACTTTATGCGGATGCTCATTTATTTAAAGAGCTTGTAGTAACTGGTAGAGTTACAACAGGAATTGTAACATCAAATCTTAGTGTATCTCGAGTGTGTATCCTTGTGATTAAGTTTAATCCTTTACCAAATGTTTGGCTGGAATTTCATCTTGGAGCAATGACAAAATAGGTGCTGGAACAGATTTCCTTCACCCCACCCCACACTTTATTTATTTAATAGGTCTTGTTTTATATGTTATGTTTTTCCCCATAACAGGTTTGTGCCTTTTATTGGATATTTATTTAAAAGGAGCTACTATAATTTAGGTTGTTCAGGCTTTTTTTCAGATGTATTCTTGTACAGCTGTTCCTTTACCAGAGTTCCTTCATTTTATAAGAATACAGAATGTGTGGAAAATCGACTAGCCACAAACTGGAAAAAAAAATTTTGAGGGTTTATGTTCTACAAATGAGTAATTTTTTTAAAAAGAAGCCTAAGCACAAGACTGGCTGTGTTGATGTTTTAATTGTGGAACTTCACAATTTGTTAATACACAAACTGTTTGTTTTTTAAAAACTGCTTGTATCCAATTATTTGATGAAACAAGTTTTGGAAAAAAAAAAAAAATAAACTTTGGCACATGGGAGGTGGGTGTGTGTGATCAATCTTTAGTGTGTTACCGTGGTTCTACTGACAGCTGCATTAGGATGCTTGATTAGTTTGTGTTCTGTATGTGGTATTAGGCCTTCCTGATGTTATCAGTGTAGCTTGACTGCATCAGTTGACAGGTTTTCCTCTGCTCCAGTTTCCCTGGGGGAGCAGGGACTGGTTTCCTTGTGCAGGGTGATGGCTTTCATGGAGGGGCGATGGAGGGGAAGAGGCAGAGCTGTTGGCACCACAGGGCTGACCTGGGGGTGTCTCACCCCATCCACCTGGGAAACAGGCCTTGACCAACACCAAGTTAAATCTATCCTTTCTCCTTTTCCTGTTTAATTGCGGGGTGTTTATTGCCTGTGGCTGCCCTGAGCCCGCTGCTGGCCGTGGGCAGGGGCACACGGGTGGGTGTGGGGAGGAGCTGCTTTAGTTGTGGTTTCTCTGGCCTGCGGTTGGATTGGTTCCCTGA